AATGCTGTTTGTATTCAATGCTTGAAACTGGTGACTCTGTAGCCGCATTATGAAAAAGTTGCAAGGCTCTTCAATGGAGCAGACGCAGTACATCCTGGTGAAGTTTTGATGACAAGAGTTGATTGTGCAATAAAGGTACTTGCGCGCCATCTTCCCTGATTTTATTGAGACAACCATGTATCAAGCACTTATTTTCTATTTTTCTCATTACTTCATGTGGATCGTGTGACTCACAGAATTGGGGATTGTAAGCTAAAACTTATTAGGTGTGTCTATACGTTCATTCTAATTGCTTCTTGTGGCTTTTCTGGCGGCGCAGATGAATATCAAGCTCTGTGACAAGTTCTCCATCAATCATTATCCAATGCTATTTTGGGCCACTCCCAAAAAGTTCGTTGATGGCAGCTGGAAACCTAAACAAGAGAAAAGCGAGATAAGCGTAGTAGATGAATGGCGCACGGCTGATCTTCTGTTGAGCTGGATCAACAAGCAATTAGGCAGGTATGCGTGCGCAGGCCGAAATTTCATGTCTAACATTTAAATTGAAGTCATATCTATTGTGCTAGAATTCGGCAGTCTATTTCTCTCTATGTTGGCTTACACCCTGTGAATATATTCAGTTGGGTAGCATCGCACTCAAATCTCTTAATTTGTCAATGTTGTGCAGCTCTTACGGCTTGGATGATCAGAAATCTGGAAAGGAGCACCTACTGCCAAATATATCTGACCACGAGCAGGTCGCTTACCACTTTGTTAGAGTGGTAGCATTTGGTTTAATTCAAATTGACTAAATAGAGCTGGTTGTTGTTTTATTCACAGATTTCTCAGGCCGTATATGACATCGAGGAGGCAACTGAAGAAGCTTTTGATATCATTTTGGCACACAAGGTATGGAAATTTCTCTTGATTTTTTTTTTGGTATGTAACTAATCCATTTCAGCCTTGTTGATGACTATTGTTCATGGTCACAGGCAATAAAGTCATCTGAAACCGGTGTTTCGTTTATTAGGTTTCTGCAGCTTTTAGTGGCACATCATCCTTCAAGAAAGTAGAATCTCATCTTCATATTTCCATTCACGTTTTACTGCTCCTGTTTTCTATCATGCCTAATTAACTTTTGAAAATTTCTATAGGTGTCGTAAAGGAAGCGCTGAAATTCTCTTGAATTTTGATGATTTATGCCCGTCAGGCGAATGCTCTTATGACCAGGAATCTGGAGCGAAAGACACCCTGCGAAATTTACATATTTGTGGAAAGGATGCTCCGCGTGGATATTACGTGAGTGCGCCCAACTATAACACTTGCTTTTCTCTTGTGTTGCTTAAACATAGAGAAATCTGATTCTCCCATATTTGGCAGATGTTTTGCCGTGGCAGCAAGAACGAAACTAGGGGATTCAGGTAGTGTTTTGCAAAGTCAGTCCTTTGTCAAATTTCTTTTAGTGATAGGATTTTTCAATTCAAGCACATGTGCCAGTATTTGAACTCTTTCAAAATTACTTGACTGCAGCTGTGGACTATGGGTCTTGATGCATTCACTTTCTGTGAGGATTGAGGATGGAGAAAGTCAGTTTGCATTCACGACCATTTGTGATTTCATCAACAACTTCTTCATGTGTGATGATTGCCGCCGGCATTTCCACGACATGTGCTTAAGGTAAAGACAGATCAGGAGGGGTTTGCTAACAAGCTCGATGATCGCATCCTTTCTCATCTAACAGCTTATGTGTTTCACTGACAGCGTGAAAACTCCGTTTAAAAAGGCACGTGATATTGTCTTGTGGCTGTGGAGCACACACAACAAGGTCAATGAGAGACTCAAGAAAGACGAAGATTCTCTTGGAACAGGAGACCCTAAGTTCCCAAAGATGATATGGCCACCAAAGCAGCTTTGCCCTTCGTGTTATCTTTCAAGCACCCAGAAAAGCATTGACTGGGATCATGATGAAGTATACAAATTCTTGAAGAATTACTACGGACAGAAACTGGTGTCCTCTTACAAGAAAAACAATGGCAGTGTGAACAAGGAGGAGGTGGTTGTAGCTACAGAAGAGATGGCAGTGCCCACTAATGCTCTGGTTGTGCCGGTGGGAGCTGCATTGGCCATAGCACTTGCAAGTTGCGCATTCGGGGCGCTCGCCTGCTACTGGAGGACGCAGCAGAAGAACCGGAAGTATTACCACAATCCGCACTATCTAAAGAGATATAATAGTAACTATATGGTTATGAACACATTCAGTAACAGTGAAAGCGAAAGAGAAAAGGAGAGATGAATTAATTTTAAAGAAGAAAAAATGCTCACATGTTTTAACATTCAGGCGGAGGAAGTTAGCTTAGAACTGAATTTGAGCTTTGTTTTTTGTTTTGTTGTAACTTACAGACAACAGATACAAAGGCGTTGAGGTTGAGATGCCAAAGTCGCCTGCTTCAGGTCCCCATTTCTCTCTTCTCTCCTCTTACAGATTATTGTATAGATTCTTCTCTTCATTTTTGGAATATACAATACACTCTTCTATATCTATTATCTATATGACAAACCAGAATAGCTCTCTTGTTGAATCTTATTGAAGCGCATGCCTTTCGCTATTGTTTTGTATATCAACGGCTTTGTAGTATGTCTTCTTCTTCGACAAAGCTTGTCAGTTGGTTTTTGGAGGATGTGTTTCTCTGAGCTTTCTGTGATGTCATTTGAGAAGTGAAAGATTCGTGTTGAATCTGACACATGAGAGTCTAAACCGGCATCGTCAAAGTTGTTTTTTTTTTTCCTTGTCTAGAACCCTAATCTTCTCTAGACTGGCAACAATACATTAGCGTCTCTTTGTTGATGATCTGAGCACGAATCTCACCCGAAACATTCACATGACTCGCTGCTCTCAGATCTCAAATCTAACACAAATCTACCACGTAGTTCCCATTGTCTGTCCCAAATGCGTTTTCTGTCTCCCCACGCCTGCGCGCTTTGCAGCACAGCCGCAATCCTCTAGCGGATGCAGGAGCTTCTCGGCCGTGAAAAATCAAATATCAACGTTTAACAATCTACCTTACATGGACTTTTGAATCCACCCACTTTTGGTAAGGAGTTAAGCATTATTTGGGTTCACCTAGAAAGCATTTCAAATGCTCGTATCACCCGCTAAACAATAGGTTACGCTCCATATTGCTAAAGTTGTCAATAATCTAATTCATTGATGACGTTTTAGTAATTCTTTTCGTGATAATTGTGAGGACGATACAAATACATCACTACTCAATTAATAGTAAAGTTATAACAAAAGGGTAATATGTATATACATAATCATCAATTAATAGTAAAGTTATAACAAAGGGTA